CTCCCTGCTCTGCGGGGAGCCTGCTTCTCCCTCTCCCACTCCCCCTGCTTGTGTTCCCTCTCTCGCTGTGTCTCTCTCTGTCAATTAAATAGATAAAATCTTAAAAAAAAAAAAAAAAGTTATTTCTTAAGAAAGTCATTCTATATATTGTCTTTCAGGAAAGCAGATAATATCCAAAAATCCAATCACTTTAACAGTTTCAGTCTCACTAAAGCTTAGAAAGCTTTAATATGCTATTTAAAGAAAAGAAATAAATGAAATCTCAACAGAAGCTTCAAGGGAAAAATCAAATGGACTGGATTCGGAAGAGCCTCTTAGTGCTGCTTGAGCAGAGTGCGGTTATAAACCATGCCTGCTCTATCTCACAAAGTGGCTGCTTTCTCCATGCTTTAGGGTTGCCAATCTTAGTAAACTTCTTGATGAAACCGTCAATGGGTTCCAAGTAAGTCCAAACAGTGGAAATAGGTTAAGAACAGCAACAAAAACTAGCATGGGAAATAAAAATTCTTTCAGTGAACTTTTACTGAGCATCTACAGCCCCATGAAAGGTATGAAGACACAGAATAAACATAATAGGATCCCTGCCTTTGAAAGCTCACACTTTAAAACAGGAAATAGATAAGTGAACAAAGAATGACAAGACAACACAGGTGCTGTGCCAGGAGACACACACACACACACACACACGGGAACACGTCCAGGCCTCGGTTTTAGGGGAAAGGTGGCATTTGAGTTAGGATTTTAAGGATAAGTGCAATTTCACCAGATGTAAAAATGGGGGCAGGGGACATTGTGGCCTGAGAATGACTTATCTACAGTCATGGACATGTGAAAGAGCGCGATACATTTGGGAAACAGCTAATAGTTTTCTATCTCACTGGAGCATAAGTGTGGTAGAAGGAGATGAGCATAAGTAAGGTAAATGGAAAATAGTTTGGGTAGGGCCTTGAATACCAGGGGAGATATATGGAGACGCTGACTTTTTTATTTTATTTTTTTAAGATTTTATTTATTTATTTGACATAGAGATAGAGCCAGAGAGCACAAGTGGAGGGAATGGCAGAGGGAGAGAGAGAAGCAGGTTCCCACTGAGCAGGGAGCCTGATGCGGGGCTTGATCCCAGGACCCTGGGACCATGACCTGAGCTGAAGGCAGGCACTTAACCATCTGAGCCACCCAGGTGCCTGACCCTGGCTTTTTTAAAAGGGGGATTCTGATAGTATTGGTTTGGGGGGCTGAAGGAGAAGATGGGTAGTAGGAAGACGAGTTGGGAAACCATTGTAAAGACTAAGGGGAGGGATCATGACAGCTTAAGTAGGGGCAGTGACAGAGGGCTTAGAAAGGTGGAGTCGGGCATAAGAAATTAGAGGCAGATGTGATAGGACTTGTAACTGAATACGAAAGACAAAGGAATGGAAAGTGAATGAACGGTTCTGTTCTTGCTTGGGCTACCAAATGGAGTGTATGGGAAGGAGACAGGGACACAAACCAGTACCGTGGCTTTGACTTTCTATTTAGGCATGTTTTTTTATAGGTGTCTTCTTTTGTAAGCCATCTCTATTTGGGAAATGGGCAACTTGTTAAAAATAGATAGAAAATAGGAAAGTCTAGGAAGCTAGAATGGAAGAAAACCTGAAATAGTTAAAAAGCAAAGAATACATACCATTACAAATAATAAATACTATAGAAGATCAGAAGAGGGCAAAATCAATAGGAGTTGACTTGGCCAGGAAAGGACTGAGAGAGGCTGGAGGCTTAGAAAGGGCTTTAAAGATCATCTAGTCCAGGGTTGGCAAACTTTTTCTGTAAAAGGATAGATAATAAATATTTCTGACTTTGTGGCCATACAGTATCTGTCGTAACTACTCACTTTTGCCATTGTAGCACAAAAGCAACTTGAGACAAGAATTTATCAAGTGGGAGTAGTAGGATCTGACCTCCTGTGGACTGGACTTGATCCCAAGGCAGTAGTTTGCTGGACCCCTGATATGGCCAAGAAAATTGAGACCCTGAAGGATTAGGAGCTTGACCAAGTTCATATAGCACAGCTGTGGTGTAGCCAGTCTCTGTGTAGAGGACTTCAGACCCCCTATCTATGATTCTCTCCACTATATCATGGTGCTGATTACACTGAGCTTTGACTATTTAGGATGAGGAGGGCACAGAGAATCAGGTTGAAAGTACATAGAGGAAGACACTATAAAATAAGAGCTCAAATGCAAATCTAAGAACTCTAGACTTTGCTCTGTAGGAAAGAATAAAGTACTGAAGATTTCTGAGCAAGGGAATGGCAAGATTTGAGTAGGGAGAGACTAAAGACAGGAGTCTAATGAGGTTTTTCAATAATCTGAATCACTTCATGCCCAAAGAATTGCTTTTTGCCAAAAGTTATCTTACCAACATAGTCTTTTCTCTCTTTCCCACGGTTATGCCAGAGTTCCTGAAACCAGAATCTATTGCCAGTGAATGCTGTAAAAAAAATAAATTGGTTAAATTCTGATAATCTGGCTAATCGAATAAACTGGTTAGCTCTACAAATTGCAGAAACACATATAGCCCCAAATCTATAATTAAATTTAAAAACTCATTAATTAAACTAAAATCATATTATTTTTTGGTAGATTTAAAGCTTAGAATTAAATCTACCCACATACCTGTAAATTCAAGTATAATCATAAAATGTTACCAGAATCTGTGCATCCTGCAACTGTCGACACTGCACATGAAGAATAAGTGGTTCAAATTTCAAAATGGCATCACCATTTGCTTTCTTCAGAGCTGCAATCTAAATAAATGAGAAGTGTTAGCATCAGACACCAATATATGATCCTTTTCTGTGGTGACCCTTTACCATATGCAACTTCAGTTTTTCCCAGAAACATTCAGAATCATCCAGCATCCTTTTTCTGCAGTAACTTTTCACTCTGCTTTCTTGGTCCTCTTCCTCCAAACACTGATTAATCTGCTTATTCTTTTAAAAGACCTGATTTCCAATTCTCCCATAAACCTCTGTGTCATTCTTTCTAGCCATACCTGGGAAAGTAAACTACTACTCTATTTAACTCTGTAACAGATTTTCACTAAGGAATATGGTAGGCGGGTGTCTGGCTGGATCAGTCCATAGAGCATGTGACTCTCGATTCTGAGGTCATGAGTTCAAGCCCCATGTTGGGCATAGAGCCAACTTTGAAAAAAAAAAAAAAAAGGAATATGATATGAAAGTTTTGTTTAGGGAGCCTGGGTGGCTCAGTCAGTTAAGCACCTGCCTTCGGCTCATGATCCTGGGGTCCTGGGATCCAGCCCCACATGGGGCTCCCTGCTCAGCAGCGAGTCGGCTTCTTCCTCTGCCCCTCCCTGACGCTTGTGCACTTGCTCGCTTTCTCTTTCCCTCTTGCGCGCAAGCGCGCAAAAATAAATAAATAAAACATCTTAAAAAAAGGGAAGTTCTGTTTAAATGCTTTGTTATTAGATTGACGTTTGAGATGCATATATGTCTGAGCTAGAATTTATAGAAGGTGGTTGTTATTTCTGTCCACCTAGTATCCTTGGGCTGTATCCTCCCTTTTTCACACCATTTGATTCTGATGGGACTGTCAATCATGACCCTATCGCTCATGACTCCTGCTATAATAACCTCAGAGATGCCAAGTGCCTAGGTCTGATCGAGGATAGTATTCCATTCTACCGGCAAAAATAACTGATCTCAAGGGGAGAACATCTAACCCAAGCAGAATGACTCAGACTCCTCTGGGAATACCTGGATATTAGCAAGAAGAAGTCCTTTTCTGCTGGGGCTGCTGGCAGCTATTTTTCCTACTACAGAGACTGCCTCCAGCAGAAGAGAATAAGGGCCAATATGCAGAAAGAACCAGTACCCAAAGAAAGAGATGAAGAATGAGTGAGTATACCTAAGACAACATTTAGGCACCTGAACAGGTAATGTAAAGTGCCTGACTAATACAAACTTATATGAACTCTTCTAAACATTTTTAATTTCTGAAACTAAATAACCCAGGACAGATCAGAAGATTTACAAGAAGCAATCCAGATAAATAATGTATAACTTATTTATGTCAGTATGTTGGTAATATATAGATAGTACTAATCCCTTTCTCTGAGCTCCCTTCTCCTTGTATAATTTATTTCAGGTTACAGAGTTATCAAATGGTAGAAATGAAGTTCAAATTTTCAATCTACTATGTGTCCAATACCCATGAACTCTCTATGTTGAAGAGGATGTGTTTTGTTGAGCAATAAGTAATGCTTATATACATATTTATACTTTTATTTCCCAAATCAAAAAAGCCACTGTAATGAATTCTCAGGTTTTCTAATCTTTAGTCATTATAATTAAGCATATAAATCCACCTTGAATGTTCTGTTTTTTTCATATGTATTTAATGTGATTCTGAATTAAAAGTTTATTTCTAAGTTTATATATAAAAACTTACCACATCATCCTTTACACAAGGTTTGTGTGTAACCAGTAGCCAGCAACGGTTTTGCTTTTGAACCTCAAAACCATTTATATCCTAAAATTAAAAAATAAACATAATTTAATTTAATCATATAATATTTACACAAATAATAAGTACAATGCATAGCATAATTGTAAGCTTTCTTAGATTAATAATTCCAAGTGGCAATTTTAAGTATTACTGAGAATAATTCACTAGGTTTTGGGTAAACTTAACCCAAAACAAAAATGAGACCAAATTAGTTGAAATATAAAGAAAATAAATTGTTTATTAAGGTATAAAAATATTTTCTGAAATATGGTCACGATTTTGTCAGGAGAAAAGGGATTATTGTAAGGGGTTGTATGTTAGCAGCCCTGAGTTATACTCTAGTTGTTTTATTTGGCTTGCAAACTATTTTTTTTTTTTTGAGGGAGAGAGAGGAGAGAGAGCATGATTGGGGGGGTTGAAGGGGCTGAGGGAGAGGGAGAGAGAGAGAATCTTAAGCAGGCTTCATGACCCTGAGATCATGACCTAAGCTGAAATCAAGAGTCGGATGCTCAACCTACTGAGCCTCCCAGGTGCCCCTTGGCTTGCACAATATTAAAAAAGCAAACAAAAGAACAACTTGGAATTCCCTTTGTAAAAAAGCACTGTCCCAATCCCACACAGGACCTATTACTTTTTACTGACAGGTGGGCTGTTCACACCCTTATAATATGTCTCTAGTTTCTAAAGGCATACATTTGTAACATCGGGATTAGACTATATATATAGACCCAAAGGGCAGAGCTAGGACTGCAAGGTCAAAGCTTCAAGAAGCCAATACCTCAACATCAGGTTTTTGTTTTTGTTTTTAATTAACTGAAAAAAAAATGTTTATTTGTAAAGTTCTTTTAGATTCTTTGGGTATAAACAGATTCTACCCTCAAGGAGGCTGGAAAGAAGATGCAGGAAACCACACTTAGGTCTAAATCACTATACTTCTACAAAGTAACTATTTTTACAATGAGTTCACAGGAGACTTGGCTGTCTAGCTTTGGAAAGAGGAAGAGCTGTGCCTGTCCTAAATAACTGGTTTGTTTTCACTGAATGACCTCAGTACATTTATCTGATCTTATGTTGCCTGCTCTAAATGTTAGAACCAAATGTGTGACTCACCTCTAGCAAATTTACAGAATCTAGGGGCATACTTAGGAACTAATGCCATCTCTAGCTTCATCTTATCTATATTCCCTTCATCCAGATTTTCCCACTTTTTTCTTCTTGTATTGCTTTTCTTTAAGTTGATGCAAATCCTTCCCGAAATAAGACTAAATGAAAATAAATAATATACATAAAATGAAAAGAGGTTCTGAAAAAGTCCTGAGGAAGTTCAGAAGAAGCAGTCATTACTTACAAGTGGGTGTGTATGCTTGTGTTCAGATGGGAGAGGGGAGTTTTGGGAGTCGCATCTCAAATATACAGAGATGGGGGAAACATTTCAGGAATAATAAATATGAACAAAGGCAAAGGCAGGTAAATATAAGATGAAAAAGAGAATAGTTCAGTTTTAGTAAAGAGATAAACATGAAGAGAAGTAGCAGAAAATATCACAGCAGCAGAGGGGTTGGAAGGTATACTAGAATAAGGGTTTGGATTTTCTGATGTTGGAAAAATGTGTAATAAAAGATTTCAGCATAGATGAGTGACATGCACAGAGTTGTCTTTAACAGTATGTAACATGGTTTGGGGTAGAGAGAATGGTAGATAAGGGACCTGTTAGGAAAACGCTGCAGAAATCCAGGTAAAATAGGGCAGTAGGAGAGAGTAAGCCCAGTGCCACTGCTCAGGAGGCAATGGTTCCAATATAAAAATATACAGGCCCTGCTAACCTGGAGGACCAGCAAATTATCAGTCAATTTATCAGTCAAATTATCAGTCAATGAGGGATCTAAAAAATGAGCTTATGAGTGTGCTGTCTTTCATGCTCTGAATTCAATCCTAATGTTAAAATTGACATGCAGCTAACTTTTATAGCACACTTAATATGGGCCAGGCATGTGCTAAATGTTCCAAATTATCCCATTTCTACTACGCAAAATCCCTATGAAGCCGATACTCTATTATCCTCAGTTCATAGAACAGGGAGGGGCTGAGTTTAGATAACCTTCCTAAAATCACATAGCCAGTAAGTCCCATAATTAGCTTAGAATCTAAGCAGTATCACTCCAAAGTCTGAGGGCTTGACTAACCCATACTGTACATCAGACTAACCCATACTGTACATTTTATTGTATTCAGAGTAATGTAAAAATTACCAGAGCTGTAATAACGGAGTGGGCCACTAGGAGGCAGTAAACGCCTTAACCCTGGAGACGCTCTATCTAGTTGATTTGGTAAGACGACTGAAGAGAAAAGCCGCCTCGCCCTGCTGGGAGTTTTTAAATTCCCCTAGTATTTAGAATCATATTCTCTAATCCTTGCAACCCAAGAGCATTCTCAGGCCAGCAGTTTCGCCATCACGTGGGGGCTTGTTAGAAATACATAGTATCATCAGCTCCATCCCAGAATTACTGAATCAGAATCTGTATTATAAAAGAGCACCTGGTGATGCTCTTTAATAGACACATTAAAGTTTTAGAAGCACTGGTCTAATTCAACCTTTAAGTTTCATAAAGAAGCCGAAACCACCCATCAGAAGGACAAACACAGGCTGGATTGGGGTGTTGCACTGGGTGGGCACCACAGGGCTGGCGCTGAACAAAAGGGCCTCACCCCGTCTAGGAGGATGATGCGCCCAGCGCAGGAACTGGTGGTGAAGTACGGTTCTCGCCCATTCAGGAGCTGCACAAGTTCTACCACATCCTCGTCCACACTGCCCTTACGGCTGAGGTCCGCTTTGCTCAGACACTGCGCCTTCCATCTCCTGAACTCTGCGGTACGATCCATGCGAGGAAGGATTTAGAGTCTATACTTTGACGTTAGCCACGCCTCTCCCTGGGGGAAGCCATTTTGAAGCGGGTGGTGGCCGGAAAGGCCCAAACTTCCTCCTCGTCCCGAGTTCGGGAGCGAGTCGTGCCCTCCCCTGAGGGCGGGGAGAGACGCGCGGGCGAGGCGGAGACAGCAAGTATAGAAGACGCCCAGGTCCGTCCCCTTTTCTGTGGAATCTGAGCCTTCGCAGGTTTTGCTTCCCCACTCTAGAACCGGGTAAGTGGTTTTAAAGAAAGTCCCCTTTAGTTGTTCAGGCAGCGGATCTCCCCGCCGCTCGTCCACAAAGGAGCTGCGTTTGATTGGGGTCGCGCTCTTGTGCCGCGTTCTGTCCTGGAGAATGTGAAAAAGGAGCTCGTGGCCGAAGACCTTTCCCTCTAGGGGCTGCTAATTCCTCATCCGTAAATCACGCAGGGACTTTCACTTGCGGGCCGCGAGCTCCCAGCCCTGGTCTCCAGTGAGATCTGCGTTTCGGCTGCACCCCGCAGGCCGCCGCGGGCTCCGCGGGCTCCGCTCCCGCCGCCAGGCCTGGGCTTAGGCGTTCCTGCTGCAGCCGGCGTCGGCCGCGGGCCCTGCGCACAGCCCCGCGGGGGGGAACAGGCTTCTCCTCTGCCGTTCCCGCGGCTGCGGGGCTCTGGAGCTCCACCCGCCCGGTCTTAAGTCGCCTCTGCCATCAGAGGTGCTGTCTTACTTTTGGAGAGAAATGCCTAGTTTCTTTGACACGCCCACCCACCCACCCCGGTGACCCCCACCTAGAATAATTTTCAAAGGAAAAAAAAAAATGACAAAACACCGCGTCAACACATCGTTAAATGCTCACTTAGTTCCAAGATGAGGCTTGACCAGAGAATGCGTTCATGATTGAACTATTTAAAGGCTCAAGTTTGGACTGGTAATGGAAAAGTTGTGCGATTGCCGCTGAGGCCACTGGCACGCTGCATGTTAAGTCTGGTCAGCATCAGCAAATCCCACTGAGCTCTTCCCGAGCACGGGAGCGCTGCCGGCCTAGTTCCACCCAATCTTTACATCCAAGAACCTGGAGGGGTTTAGAATTATCTATTCATCTCCTCCTCCACCACCCCCTCTTATCAGAAGTGGGCACCGAGATCCAGACCAGGGAAGTGACCTGACAAGGTCACCCAGCCAGGAAGAGACTTTTCTTAGGCTACTTTTAATTTTTTGGTTTTTTTACATTTCTGGCTTAAGGCTAAAAAAAAAGGCTTACGTGAGTCATTCTTGATCAGCAGCAGCACATTTCGTAATGATGATTCTCTTTCCAAGTTCTTATTTTGTTATGTCTTGCTAGAAATTCTTACTTAATTTTACTTATGCTCTTCTCTCATAAGTGCCCTTGCTATGCCTTTGTGACTTGATTTCTTCATTCTATATTGAAATATAGTTCTAAAATTTCCCTGTCCCTTTAGTTTTTATTTAAACCAAACAGATTGAAACAGAGCATAGAGAAGATCACTGTTTGAGGAGGAATTTTAAATTCTGTATTTCCTAGATTTCCAAAGTATGCTTGGCAGCTTTTTATAGGTCAAAAGTACAACCAAAAATTAAACCAGGTCCTCTAATTTAAAGTTTATACTTGATAAATAGAAAAATCTATTTAAAAACACTAGCAAGGTGGCAGGCCTGCTGACACACAAATTATTTCGTCTGAATAATAGAGCGTATTGCATGCTGGGCATGCTGTGAAGCACTCACACCCTGCGCTGTTGCAGTTAATCTTCACAAGGATCCTATGCTAGGGAGTACTGGCCCCATTTTACAGATAAGGAAATTATTAGTTTTCCTAATAGAATCTTGTCCTGTGTATCACTACTGGATCCCCCTAACTTACAGACATTTGGAAAATTTCACACTCTGAGCAGATGCCTTAATCATAAAATATGTAATCCTACCTGCAAGTTAGTTGAATTTTAAGAAGTTAAAGGATCTTCTGTGCCAACATTTCAAAGGGTAAGATGAAAAGGATTGTACAGTAAGGGTACATCACCAATCAACATTTAAGATAGAGGACTTGGATTCTAGCTCTGCTTCTGTGTGACCCTGGTGAGTCTCTTACCCTCTTGGGATGTTTTCTCATCCATAACATGGATGGTGATTTTATTTCCATTTCTGCATACAATTAAATGGTTGCTTTTCTACCTATTGTGAAAATAATTATACCAGTGGACATAAAAGATGTGCTTTTTCGAAGAAATCAGGTATTGGGTTTAAGAATTATAATTACAGGGGCGCCTGGGTGGCTCAGTTGGTTAAGCGACTGCCTTCGGCTCAGGTCATGATCCTGGAGTCCCGGGATCGAGTCCCGCATCGGGCTCCCTGCTTGGCAGGGAGTCTGCTTCTCCCTCTGACCCTACCCCCTCTCATGCTCTCTCTCTCTCTCTCTCATTCTCGCTCTCAAATAAATAAATAAAATCTTAAAAAAAAAAAAAAGAATTATAATTACAATTTGTGTGTTGTATTATTTCTTTTTATTATTCCTTTTGACGTATCACCTTATGTGTTATGTATTATGAAGCAGATGATGATCCTATGGGTAGTTGAGGGGGTTTTCAAAGGCAGTTTGTACAGATTGAAGCCTGATCGATCATAGTGGCAAAGACTCAGTGGGAAATAAGATGGACAGAAGCAAAGTAGAAGACAGCGCTGTCAAGGTTATACCTGGTCTCCTTACATGCTCGGTAGGATAAGATGATAGTACTAGGCAAGGCAGCAGGGTGTTCTAAATCCTGTATTAAGGATGAGAATCCTCCTTCCTTTGTTCTTTTCTCCCAACTTAGCAGATATCAAAATGTAGGGGGAAATGTATGTGTTAGATAATTTTGACAGATCCTATTTTGGGATAATTTTCCTTTTATTACCACTACAGTTCTTTGAGGATAATAATGATGTCTGTTGGTGAAAAGGTAGATGCAAGTGCTTGAAAGAAATAAATAGGAAGTAGGTAGAAAGTGGAAAAGGAGCTGCAGATCTTAACGTGGTGTGTGTAGCTGTGTGAAAGAATGAGAGCACAGAGTGAACAGGAGCTAGGAGAGGGGCTGGGGCATTTTCTCTTTGCCCTTTGTGTTCTCTGGGGTTAGCACAGGGCCTCGCTTACAGTTAATGTTCAAAAAATACATGTTGAATGAATAACAACCAATATTTAATATTAATGTTTTGCTTAAATGATTCTCCAGACTGAATCCTTTGAGGCCAGGGTCTTGTTTTTATAATCTGAGTCCTGTAAATATTGTTATGTAAAATCAAAAGTGATTATGGAATTATAGAATCAAGAGTATTTTAATGAATAAGAAATTGAAAAGGAGAAAAGAGATGGGAAGGGAATCATGATATCTACTATATATAGGAGTGAACATCTGCCAGGTTTAATGCTTGATGCTTGCTCTGTCTCTAGCACAGTAACCCTGAGTGGGAGCCCAGTTTTCAGATGAAGAAGCTCAACAAAGGTGACTGCCTTGCCCAAGGCCATTTGGCTAGTAAATTGATAGAGCCGGAATTCATACTGAAAGCTGTCAGATTCCAAAACCTGTACTCTTTCTGTAACACCATGCTGGCAACAAAAAGGGAAAAGAAAGCTGTGTTCTTATTTCCAGAATGAAAAACTCTGAGCTGGGCAACCTTGGTTTTGTTGTTGTTGTGTTGTTTCTGTTTTACTGTCTTTATACTTTCACTTTCTTGTCTAAGAAATACCCAGCCTGAGTGAAGAGCTAGATGGAAATTCAGTAGTGAGACTGTTGGCAGGTATGGGGGGAGCTGCCTTTTCCCAGTCCTCACACCACACAGGTGTCACCCTCAGGGACTGCCCAGCTGCTCTACAGTGACCTTAGGTTTATGTCTTCTGCCTGCTTCTGCCCCCTTGTATTTGAGGACAGAAAGGTTAACTGTAAATGACCCTTGTAATTTATAAAAGATTACATACAAAGCAGTGTTTTTAGTTTTTAATGTTTTCCTCCTTTGTTAAAATGAATGAACTTCATAAAGCTAAGTGTTCACCATTGATAAATCTCAAAAAATGTTGAGAAGAAAAAGCAAGTTGCAGAATTAAGTACAGTATGATCCAATCTAAATAAAGTTTGAGAACATGCAACACATGGCACATATTGTTGAATGAAGTAGTGATATGACATCATGCATGGGAATGATGAGCTCTGAGTTTATGGTAATAATCACCTCTTAAAAGTGCGGGCCAGAAATGGGCTTGGGGATGGGTACAGAAGGCTTCAGTTATATCTATAATGTTCTAGGTTTTTAAGATGTTAAGATTTATTAAAGCAGGGTGGCAGGTAAATGTGTTCATTATATTCTTTATGTTTCTCTCTATATTTGAAGTATTTCATAATCTAATAGGTCTATTTCTCTAATGTTAATAAAACTTAACAAATTTCTAAGATGTGGCAGCACAAACTTGCACAAAAAGAAACCTAAGATACTGTATCATGCTATGTCTAGCCAGATGTTTTTGTTTGCATGTTTGATTCCCTTGTGGAAGGCACTGAATCCCTACAGGAAGTAATATCAAGTATTTTGCTTTGTAGCTGAAGGATTTGTAAGATGAAAGGCCCTTAAACATGAAATGAGATCTGTGTAAGCTCATGATTTAAATTGTTGTTTGAAAAATTGTTTGATCTGCCTCCTCCAGGGGAAAAAACATAGTGATATAGCCTAGATACCATATGACAGAACATTATTTTTTTCCTTGGTGTCTAGATCACCATGGCGACTGGACAGAAGTTGATGAGAGCGATTCGAGTTTTTGAATTTGGTGGACCAGAAGTGCTGAAACTCCAGTCGGATATTGCAGTACCAATTCCAAAAGACCATCAGGTGGAAATAATTGCATAAAAACAGACAGTAATTACACTGAGTGTGAGTCTCCAGCACATCAGGTTAATGTTCAAAAGAAGCAGACTCACAATAATTCGTAGAGACATTGAATTAGGACAAAGTTTATACTGATGATACATGTGCGCTCTGACAAAGAGAGTATAGTTATAACAGTGAGGTAGAGCTATAAAAAGGAAAAATATCTTGCTATAAGAACATTTTTGAGGCTGAGGATCATCTGTGCAGTGCCATAATTGAATTTTTCTGCATGGAGTCGTAAGTAGTTTTGAACAAGTTATTCTGTTACACACTTTCATGATTTCTATTTTGTGCACAGTAGGAAAATGGTTTTCTTCTGCATACATGCCCTTCTATATGTGATTTAAGAGAATTTAAATGAAGAGTTTAATCATTTCTGGTGACTTTAACGATATACTTTCTCATTAAAAATTATGTATCTTTATTACCACACCTTCCATG